TTACTCAGAAATAGACTAGAGAACATCGTGAATGCAACTAACCAAAAACAGGTCAGCTTTCCGAAGTTATGATAAACAGTGAGAACGCTCTGACTCAGCAAAAACCCCGTTCCCTTCAAGTAACAATCTACTGCATAACATTCCCATTGCTTGTCAAAATGTATATTCCACAAAAGTCCAAATAATATTTTGATGACACGTGAAGTCCGTCAGACTCTTTTTTGTGATTATTCCGAAAATATGAAGATTTGCTCGCGACGCGACGTTTACATTTGCCGATGAGCACGTGATAAATCAGCCCTTACATTTCTAAGTTCCCTTGAAGAGATAATTCATTTGAGCCAGCTGACGCTGGCAAATAAATCGTTATCATTTATCTTATTAGTATCTCTCCTTAGTAAAGGTTTACCATTCATTCTAAATCTGTATCTAGACACACGTGGAACAACTGCTGTAAACGTCCTCATTCCAGTCCATTTCTCGTCCGATAGCCCGTCTTCTGCCCTGAACTTCATCCATCTTGAGCTGACAAAAGACCTTTGTTAGATGTTTATTTATTTATAAGTTATAAACAAGAATGTATAACACAAGGGGCGAAGTTAATGCCTTTTAGCATTCTCTCCCAGTCAACCTGAGACGTGGTGCGTTTGGTTTGTAGTGGTTTATTATTTATAAATTAATGATGGCACTTACCACGATTATAAATATACATACACAAAACATACTAAAAGCATATATGTAAATACATACACAAATTAAATTATACATACACACATTAAATACATACATGCATTGAAACATATTTATATATTATATAAATATCTTTCAATGCATACATCTACAGATACAGCAATGTTATGCTGTGTGACGTCAAATTACGAAATGACGCGTGGTATGCAGACTAGCGGTTGCGTGTTTCGTTTCGTCCACTTCAAATGGGAGACTACCGGTCTCCGTTGGCACGGTTACCGGCCAATTAAGAATTAACCGTTGCTCGCCGCGCCGTTTATTTGACGGTCTATTTGATTTGCGCGTGTGATCGGACCTTAAGCGCTTGCTTCACTTGCCCGCTTCGCTAGTTGTGCAACGAAGTGGAATGATCGCCAAATATTGCGTTTTTTCATTTAAAGTGAGTGACACGATTTAGTTTATCTCCATCGTGAATGATTTATGGAAATGGTTCTTTTATACTGACTTCTTGGACTAAGCATGTAAAACAGATTATGAATGTAGTTATTTTACTGATTGTATCGCGCTCTTCATCTGCGTTTGCTGCTCCGAAAGGCCGGGAATTTAGGAAGAAGTCAAAGGTGAAATTTCCTTAAATAGTTTTAATTGCGAGAGCCTTGTTCAATTCCTCAATTTTGTGATCAATCGAAGTTTTGAGTGGTGGTGAGTTTGAGTTGTGAGTTTTGAGTAGGTGAGGTTTGAGTAGTGCAAAATTTTAAAATAGCGTAACAATGCACAAGTAATACTGCTACAGTTAAGCATGGGAGGGAGTAATCACTTACCATGAGGTGAACCACAGGAATTTTAAAAAAATTATCATGCTTTAAAAGAATTAGGAGAATATATTACAAAATATTTCTACGAAAACTCTAATGGACAGCAAGTAATTGTTAGTTCACCATATTAAAATAACAGTTATTTAGCAAATTACGAAACGGACGATTTCCATTTTTATGCAGCAATTTCAACGTTAATGGATTATTTCCCGGGAGGCGGTACGGGTTAGTTTTAATTCGCACCGCAGAAGCGTACAATTTGAGCACACTGTCACACCTTACAAGCATTAAAACGCCAAGGGATGATCTCATACGTATTTATTTCAGGTACATAAAATTACTTCATACACGTCCCATCTAATACTATTACGTTGTTGCCTACATGATTGTGATTACTCCGCGGTGCAGTTGCCAAGCTATTGGCTTCGGCGTCGGGGTCATGGGTTCGACTCCCACACGGCAGAACTATTTGTGTGACCAACAGATAATTTTTTCGGATCTGGATGTTTGTCCACATGAAATTAATGTGTGTATGAGCATCCTTGCAACAAATAAAAAAATTATCCTAAATAATGTTATCCTGAAATAAGGGCAAAGTTTAAAAAAAAAGAAGAAAAATTATGTTAATTACTTATAGAGATTTGTGAGACACTTAATACTGCCTACTACAAAGATCGACAACTTTGTAATACGATTACAAATTCAAATAAATTTTATGTTACAGATGTTATAACATATAATTTCTTCTAAAAGATCAGTTCTTCATTTATTTTCCTACCGTTCGATTTTACTCTGACATCGCTGTTTCTGAAATCATATAAAAATCTAAACTGTGCGTCAACTTCCAATATGAATTAAGCCGTATTATTGAAGAATAGATAGACATCATTCAATGTCGATAAAGAAATGCAAATGCACATCACGATGGACAAACATGCCAGGGCTCGGCTCAGTGACCTATCACAGCTCACTTTTAATGTAATATAATCGACAAATTCAATCCTAGTTTATGCAATTTTAAGAGCTGACTTTTTGTGCGTAGCCGAGAAGGAAAAAATCGTGAGGAAACCTGCATATTTACGAAACGATATTTAAAAAATCAAAGATATGTGAAATTCGACAATCTGCATTGGGGTCGCGTGGTGGACTATGGCCTAACACCATCTGTACAGCGGAGACCTTTGCCCAGCTGTGGGACAAATACAGACTGTTTCTTTACTTTTTACTTTATCACTACTAATTGCCATTGAAACGCAGGTTTCAAGTAGAATAGACTAATAACTCAACAATTTATATTAATACATTTAATTATCAAATAAAAACAATAATTACATAACTAAAACTAAAAATTATTTAAACAAAAGGGTAAAACTTAACATAAATAAAATAAACAAAAATAGATGGCCCGTAGAAAAATAGATGACCCTAGCTACCGAGTATACACTAAAGTTCTCCTGTAGCGTCCGTAGCAGAAAGTCCATTCCCTAGTACAGCGGCAACGGCAGCAGGTAAGCGAGTAGAATGGTTAGAGTAAATGGTTTGTGATCCACTTTGTGTGCCACTAGCTAATAACTTTGCGTCAGCAACGCGCCATAAGTTATAGAAGATGTACGGCAAGGAAGGTGGAGGGACCCCAAATTCTGAGGTACTACTACTACACAACAGAATAAAAATATAAAGTATATAGTAACAGCTGTCGAACTGTGTATGAAACGGTTTGCCGGTTCAAACAAATTGAACGGAGAAGCGAACGAAGTTTTTAGAACTGTTGTCGTTAGCAGTTAGTTATGCCAGAATTTTCAGTTCATCTTGATGATGATATGACTTTGGTAGTTGTTTGGAAAAATGGTGAACATAAAACATTTATCGATCTTTCCTGATAGAGTCAAGGGACATGAAACCTTTCTACATTTATCTTGAAAGTGAAGCACGAATCCCTGCCTAAAACTTGAATAGAAGAGAAATCAATGCAATTGTGCAATAGTTCATAAATGTTCTTTCTTAAATGTTATTCCCAGTAGGAGGAGAAGAGACCTAAGATCTAATTTATCCTTTTTATAATTTTATTAAGAGTTATTCTTCAGGCTTTGAGATGATGAATTCAAAGGAAAATACACTTGAAGCTGTTAAAGCATTTAAATTTTAGGATATACGAGTAGATAAAATATTGCTGCCAGGGTAAGTTGCAACTTTACAGTTTTATGGGGAAAATTCTTAAAACTCGTTGCAATATCACCAGTTCTTAATCAATATCAAGTTCAATATTTCATCAAGTATCAAAATAATTAATGAAATTTGGCAATATTTTATCCATCAAAAAATTAATAAAATCAAAAAAATAATACAAAAAGGTATTTAATATGATTTTATTGTAAAAAGTAAATACTTATTTTATATCACAATTTTATATACACGTATTACTTAATGTTTATAAAAGACACTTAAGACAGATTTATAAAGAACGTAATAAACTTCATACCTTTACAAAATTGTAATGTAATCTTCAAACAAAAATGTTAAAAAAACATCAAGGACGAAATAAATGTAATGCAAGTCCGTTACAAGGATATACCCAACCATACATTCCCGAACCAGCTAAAAACCTTTTGTGTATTGAGAAGGTCAAACTAAATTTACGATAATAATTTGTAGGGTCACCACTTCTCTTGTGTAAGGGCGCCGATAAGGCGTTTTTTTACGGTCCTCCTTTATCCGGAATTGGTCCAGAGTGACCCCGGTCAAGTTTCAGCGTTGGGGTCAAACAGGATCGAATGAGCGGTCAGTGGGGTCCGTTTAAATGGATAGGTATGGGGAACATTACAAAGGCCCCCTTTGTAATGGTGCTGTAAAGACGCCCTGGTCATCTGCTAGTAAATTATATACCCAGCTTAACACATTGAAATGAGTGTAAATGTAGAGAGAGAAATCTGCAAAAATGTGAAAATGAGCCAATGTTGTAATTAAATAAGAATGTTTAAGTGGATGTATTTATTGAACGAGAGAGCTGGGTTGATTCGATGTATTATTTTAGATATTTACTAACAGCAACATTATAAAAAGTTACTAATTTTAAACTAAATCTAGTCCTAACGGATCTCTGTAGTTAAAACGGTGGATTCATACTTCACCATTGGTTTTCAAAATATCAACAATAGTAAATATTCCACTTTATAAAACTACAAAGAAATAAGGAAGAAAGCTAAGGAGAAATTCACAATTTTCAGAATACAAGCAAAGTTTAGTAGCTCTACGATCTAAGCATTTATGTACAAAATTGTTGTTATCTACTTTATCGAGTAAATTCTACTGGAAATATTAAATTCCCCTACTAGGAATTCAACAAATTATACATCATAGGACTCAGACTGCAAATGTCATACGCGCAGTCCCTCTGATTCGATGCAAAACAAAGTTTAGCAACAAAAAAAATCGTTGCCAAAGACGAGAAAATATTCCGACCAATACACAGATTGGCTTCGTGCCGACCCAGCACTATGTCAAGTTAAACAAATTCAACTTCTTACTCTCGACCCTCTTTTTTATGACCTTAAATCTTGTCGCGTTATTCTCGTACGTCGGTACCATGAAGTGGTGCTTCGCGATGACATTCTCGGCGTGGTACTTCGAGCCCGCTTTATCAACGCCCTTCGCCGGCGACGGGTCTATCAGGTTCTGCAGTTTGAACTTCTCCGGCATCCCGTACTTGGTGTCGGCGATTACCCTCACTGCGGCCGAGAGGCACAGAGCGCTGATGAACAGCCTCATTGCGATATTAGGGTGCGGACAATTCACGTAGACGAAAACCTATCAGATAGATCAGAAAACCCCTTCAAGGTTATGCGCCGCAGCCGATATTAAAAACGGTAATGATCTTTTATAACTTTCGGATTAGTTTCGTGATTAGCCGCGTCGCGCGGAGCTACGAAATGAGGAGACGGTTATTGTTATGGAAAAACAAATCGATAATACAACTGTTTTTCATGTACGAAGAGAGCAAGCGAGCAGTCTAGACCACCGAAGCTAAGTGATTATCGACGTCAATAGACGAAATGCAAAAGAATTAACATCTACTGACTGTCAACATACTCGTAAGAAACGGAAAAGTGTAAATATTTAAAATATACGTCGGTCTTCTGTGTGATCGTCAATCTTTCACCAACATGCCAGCCCAATTGAATCGGTAGAAGCTGCTGCCTGGAACACAATCCAAAAATACTGTTTAATATCTACGTTTCAAACGTAGAGTTTAAAAAGTGAAATCGAACGTAACAACAATTACTTTAATAATAATGTAACACAAATAATAATGCAAAAGTGAGTTCTGCGTAAGTAATCAGACCCAGGCATCATTTTTTTTATGCTTGTTGTTAAAACAAGTAATATCGTAGTGATGAAAATCCGTAATTTTTTTTCTTCGTAGATCTGCGTTTAAACACGTGACGATAATAAATAAGGCAAACGCGTGTTAAGATTACTTCTAAGTTATGTATAACAGAAGAATTATTGTATAATCTTCGCATGCTTCGAAGTCAATATTCAAGGTATAGTTTCGAGCAGCAACATTGAATAAGAGATGTAAGGTCGAAAATGACAACCCTTATATTATATATTAGTATTTCTCAACGTTAACAAAATTAGGTTCGCACTTCTGCAATTTAAATTAGCACGGGTCTTCTTTCTCCTGCCCTTATCTCACGTAGGGGACAAGAGCAGGAGAAAGAAAACTCTCATTATTAAATCTTCATCTATTAAATTAGAAAGAGAGTCAAGTCCCCGAGTGCATTAATTTACGGTGGTAGGGCCACGCAGCAGTCTCGGCTGTTGCACGAATGGGCAGGCCCGTCCGTGTAAGTACCACGACCTCACAGAAGACCAGCGTAAAGTGGAAGTATAATACTTTCGCGTTTCGTCTGGTGAGTGAGGTGGCCGGAGCCCAATTTTCAAAAGGTTGTCAACGCATCTGTAACCCTCTGGTGTGGCAGATGTCCATGGGCGGCAGTATTCACTTAACATCAACCGAACCGTCTGCTCGTATGACAACTTTTCGCATAAAAAAATACATTCGTCAATATACACAATACATACATGTATACGTTCGATAACATTATCCCCCTCCGGAGTCGGGTAAAAAAGTATCTTATGAAACATTTTGTCAGATGCATCGAAACTTTGCGATCATAAAGCTGTTTACTAGAAATATCTTCATTACACATTTCTTAAAAATTAAATTTCTTTTTTACCTGAGGAATTTGTTTGTTGCGTCGACGGTTAAGATACAAATTTGCCGCGTCAAGTATAACTAATTACTCATCTCCGTAATTTTTGCTTACGTACATTTAATTGGAAATCTTATTTTTGTCAATATAACAGGTATCTTGTAATTATATTACCAAAAAACAAAAGCGACTTCAAGTATCTCAGTTATTATAGCATTTCCTACTTAATTTTTAGCAGTTCCCTGGTGTGTCTCTGGAGCTCTAGGTCCAACCAGTGGCGGATTTATCAGCAGGCTAAGCATATACATAGAGAAAACGAGCCTTGAAAATTTAACGTAATTTAAGACTTTCATAACTAGATTCCTTTTATTGTTAATAGAAAATTTAATTCAGATACTGTTCTTATTATTTTTAAACTGTGAGTGCAATAAAAATTAACAAAGTTTACTGAATGTACATTATTTTGGGTAAGCTTTGTTCATATATTAGCATAAGTGTTTTTAAAGCATAGGTATCTCTTACTTCGTCTTATAATTAGAACATGATTGAGCTTTTTTAGCTCAGAAATATACCCAATTTTTTCGTGTAATCTTCACTGAATCTGACAACGAAACCCTAGTTCAAAATCATGCTAATAACGAGAAAAAAACTGTTGCAATGAAGAAAATAAAGCACAAATCTTAAAGTTGCAAATACTCTATTGACGTAATAAATGTAATTAATATGATTGCGGACAGGGTATCGAATTTCAGAGATCAGTAGGTACGGCAAAGATTGAACAGACTATTGGCGGCAAATCCGCCACTGGGTCCAACGCCATGATATTAATACAGGACAATATGGGAGCCAAACCGAAGCCAATGTAAAAAGTTTTTAAAAATGGTTCATAAATGACAGAGTTCTGAGGGAACAACCATAAAAAATACATCCAAATTCGAAACTGCCCTCTTTGTAAAGTCGGTTAAAACAGCCATTTTTCTAGTAGCCTAAGCAGTCGTGCAAAAATTAGTCTATCATAATTCTCAACGCCTATACGCGTCCAGCTGCGTCGCCGACAATAGATTCCCCGGTAACCGTTATACCTGCAGCTTAATTGCCAATATTTGCATAGAAACAGCGAGGGATGTTCGCAAAAGGTTGCATCATAAGGGCTAGTGAATGGACGTCCCTTTGATTGATCGCCGTAAGACATAGGCGCCCTTCGTGGATGGGGATCCAGAACTTTATCGTAAAACTGTAGGGGCCGAGGAAGTCGACGAAAACGGACATCTTGGATAGCATCACACCCCTTATTGTGATATAACTGATTGTACTAATCATATGAAAGCATACGAATATTTCGTAAGTGTGAAATGTGATTAATTTAAATGTTTTACGTTTTTTTTATTAAATTTTATTTCTATTATGATTGATAATTTTTTACTTAATAAGGGCATTTTAAAATAAAGCATCAACATCTGTCTTTGCTTAGCTTCGTCCAGTTTCGTCATATATCTATAATGTATAAATACACGTTAAATTAGCCAAAAGTTTAAATTTGAATGAATCTTCTGTTGCCTTAAAATAATGGTCTGAAAGCGATTCAATCAACTAAGCCCCGTAACAGCTCGAACTGGTACGATCATAGTTCAAATCTTGGTGCTGGCACCAAAAGAAACATCGTGACGAGCGCTGCACGTCTTAGATATTTAAAAAAATAACGGATTGGAATAAACCAAGACCACCAATCAGCACTGCACCGCGTAGCGAACAACAACCCAATGTTTTTTCTACAGGTGTCTTGCCTAGAATAAACCCTTGCCCATTAGACATTTTTGCTGTCTGAAACAGGTCGGTATCTACTTTTATGACTACTACCAGACAGATATATGAAACTCTCAAAAAGTTCTTGCTATCGAAGGAATTGACCAAGTTGGCTGGAGAATAGCCATAGCCTCAAAGAAGGTGGACTAATGAACAATAAAGCAGGCCACACCCATCCAAAGGCTGTAAAATCCAATACCCGAACCGCCATCTCTAAAAAAAACTCTATTTCTTATCTACCTTAAATGAATTTTATGAACGCATTTTTACAAGATGATATTTTATCATCAACTAAACTGTTCGATGTAAGCCATTAAAATACTACGAAGGAACACGGCCACTAATCCCTTTAACGGGACAAAACAGCATCCCCGATCCCACGTGCAAAAAACAAACATCCTATCACAATAAAACACCAAATTACCATAAACAACGCATTATCCGGCGGCGGTTAGTTCGAACCGGTTCGGACCGGTTCCATGCGGAAACTGCCGGCTCGCATGGTTCCGCGACACCGCGGCACAATCGGTCCATTGTTTTTTCAAGACAACGCCACAATGGACCGGGCGAGTTGGGGTGTTAAGCGATTAGAGCATCTCAAAAACTCCGGTCACAAGAGCGGACAGAGGATGACGGAAGGGTTGCGCTTTGTGATCCCAAAAGGCGGATGTGTACGGTGTTTTTGTTGGGACGGTTGATCATCGGTTTTGTGCTACTAGGTCACGGCACCGGCCATTAGAACTCCTAATAAAACTTTATTGATCATCATTTTTTTTAATGAATATATTGACGACTGTGACGAAGTTCAGCTAGAGCGTTTACCACTAAGTACTTTGATCGTATAAAACTCCAAGCATTCATAATAGCCCAATAAATGTTATCGTGGATTAGTATATTATTTAAAACGTCCGAAACAACTGATTGACATTACCTGTGAAAGCTAATTCCTTATAAAATAAAAAAATATTTTTTTAAAAAAACCCACGACAGTTAAAAAGTAATTGAAAAATGATAAAATAATTTAAACCTAAAAAATAAACCCCGACCTAAAAAATAAATGTAACAAGATATAATAAACGTAAAAAGATGAGAGTTTTCATATCATTTCCCTACGTACGTATCTATTTGTTTCTCGATAATTGTAGATCTGGCAATTACATATTCAACTACTATATAAACTTATTATATCCAAGGATATTCGACGGGGGCTGCCATCACAATTTTAAATTTCATCGTAAAAAAAAATAAGTACCACCATCAACGGAAGATCGTAAATAATCAAAATAAAATAAATTCAAATATCTCGCTTTGTATTCATTTTTTGCCCAAGATCCAATACCAATGATACATATGGTACCACATGGGAAGCACCAGCTTTTAAATAAAAAAAGAATCATCGAAATCGGTTTACTCTGTCAAAAGCTGTGAGGTAACAAACATAAAAAAAAAATACTATCGTATTGAGAACTCCTTTTGGAGTCGTTTAATAAGTATCATCATCATCGTCCGGAGACACGTCACGACGTGACACTTCCCCGGAAAAGCCTGCCCATTATTGGTTGGACCACCGGTTTACTAAATCGGACCTGTCCAGAAGAGAACCGGCAAGAAACTGCGGTCTTGTATTTTTTTTTTAATTATATAAGTTTACAACATTAATTAAGTATAAAATCAACAGCAGGGGACTTGAAAGTGCAGAGCAAGAGTCATTTCCACACATCCTTTTCCTCAATTATTCTACGATAT